CGGTCCGGGAGGGCCGCGCGCAGCCGGGGCGCCCTTTGCAAAAGGGCATCTCGGGGAACTCAGCTAGGAGGAGCCCACTGGGCCGCGTTCCGGCCCAAAGCTGGGCGCCTGCAGCGGCGCCGCCGTCGTTTCCGAGCCGTGACTGGCTCCCAGGCTGCATCCCAGTTACGGGGCGGCGGGAGGCCGCCCAGCGCCCAGCGCCTCGGAATGGGTTCTGCCGGCGCGGACAGTCCGGCTGAGGCCGGCAGAGGGCCGGCGCTGGCACCCCGTCAGCGCAGCTCGGCCGCGGGAAGCGCCCAGCCTCCGGACGCAGCCCCCAGCGCCCTCCCCGCCGGGGGAAACGTCCAGACAAACGGGATGGGGGGTGCCACCGGCGAGCCTGCCCAGTCCGAGGCCCCGGGACCGTGCCAGAGGCCCTGGCAATTTGCCTGTGGGGGTGGGCAGTCCTGGTGTTGACACTACCCGCTAGGGGACTGGGCCGACAGGCTCTGGGTTCCCTGCACCCTCAGCCAGCCCCCTGGGGGGGTCCCCGACAGAGCTCTCCTTCCCCTAAGCCCCCCAGGGCCTGCCTGGGTGTCCTGCTGGCCAGGGCAGGGCTCTTGGGCACCTGCTCCCCCAGGTGCCTCATGAGAAGGGACAGCTGGCTGTGCCCACTGCTGTCCAGGCCAGGTGTCCCCCAGAGACCCCCCCTCCGCCTGAGACCCAGGGCACCAGCCTGCGTCCTCAGCCTCAGCCACCCTCAGGAGGGCACGGGGTGGTGCCAGGGTAGAGCGAGTGGGAGGGGGCAGCGTGCGGCCTGGGAACACCCAGCCGCCTACCTCCCACCAGGCCACTCTCCGGCCTCAGCACCCAGCACCTGCTCCCAGCGGGAGGGCGGGCCACGCCCCAGCTCTGGGGTCCTGTGGCTCCCCTGGCTCACCCTGCTGCCTGAGGCTGAGCAAAAACCCAGTACTTAGCACCCCCAGGCAAGCAGGAGGGGTGCACTGGGCCCTCCCCTCAAGCAAGCAGCCACACAGGTGGGGGGGGAGGGTAGGTGCCCCCTTCCGGAGCTGCTCAGTCCAGGGCTGTGTCCTGGCTCCTGGCCCCAGGCCCATGGCCCTGCCCACTGGCTTGCAGACATTGGAGGGCCTCCAGGGCCCAGGAGATACTGCTGCAGGGCCCCCCACCCCCCAACACTGGGGACCACCTCCCGCAGGTCCCGCCTGCTGGCTCCCTGCCCCCTCAGCCCCACACCCTCAGGCTGCTGCCCTCTGGGTCGGCACCCAACCCCCCCCCCAGGCCTCCTACTGCACTGCAGCCTGCCAGGCGGGCTGGTCACCCACAGGCTGGGGGGGGGGGTGCCGGCAGGGGTTAGCGCTCCTGCAGGCTCAGGGCTCTGACCTCCCCGTGGCCTGCTGAGCCCCGCACATGCTGGCACCAGCCTAGGGCCCACCCCCATCCCAGCTGCAGGCGGTGCTGCAGCACCCCCCCAGGCCTGGGCGTCTCCCCCTCCACAGCCGCCCCCAGACCACACCCAGCACGCAGAGGAGGCGCCAGACCCATCACTTTATTTGCATTAGACAGCCAGGACACGACTCCTGCCACAGGGCGGCCCCCAGGCCCTGGTCAGCGGGGAAGGGCCTGTCCTCAGCGCCCCAGGCCAGGCGGCGTGCGGAGGGGGCTGGGTGGCCGAGGTGGCGTCCTGGGAGGGGCCGGCGGCGGCTAGATGATGCCATACTGGGCCAGCTCGTGCAGCTCCAGGTGGCTGAAGGCCTCCCAGGGGCAGATGACTGTGATGTCTGTGGGGGAAGGCAAGGAGGTCGGCCCCTCCTCTCAGGGCACACCCGTCACTCGGCCATGGGGGTCAAAACGAGGGGTGCCGCAGGCCCGAGAGGGGCTGGTGACCCCACAGGTCGGGAAACCCCGTGGCTGGGGAGCCTGGGGCGGGCCCAGCAGCCGCGCCGCCTACCTGTGCCCAGGCCTTCCATCCCAGGAATGTCGTCCCCAAACCTGCGGGGACACAGCGTCAGGGCTGCAGGGCTGGGCGCGGGGTGCACGCCCTCCCCTTTCCGGGGGGTTTGTAAGTAGTGGGGTGCCGAGGGGCTGGGTGTGGTCTCGTGGGGTAGCAGACCAGATGGATGACGACATGCCAGCCGCACAGGGCAACGGAAGGGGACCCCCCACCCCTTGGCCCGCCCTCAACCAGGGCAGGGCGGCTGGACGCCCCTGGTCCTGGCTGTGCCGGCTCTGGGCGCAGCCAGGACCGGCCCCCTCCAGCTCTGCTTACCCTTGGACGCCCTTCTTGGGGGGCTTGCTCTTGAACTGCCTGGTCTGTCGCTGTTTAAATTTGGGGGGCCCTTTCCTGGGGGTGACAGGCCCTCCAGTCACCCTGGTGGCCGACCGGACCTCGGCCTTGGGCAGCTCCAGGTTCATGGCCAGGCCGGCAGGGTCTCAGTGACGTCTGGCTGCCAAGCGCGCTCGCGATGGGGCTGGGGCGCCGGGGCGGGTCCCGCTCAGCCCTCCTGCTGTTGATCCCTCAGGCACGACCCAGCAGGCCGAGGAGGCCAGATGGCCGTCAGTGTGGCCAGCGACACCCGCCCTGCTCGGGGCGGCCCCCCAACACCCCCCGTGTGCTCCCCAGCCCAACCCGGGGGCAGACACCTGACCCCCCCAGCACACAGATGCCCAGCAGGGCCAGTGACCTCCGAACAGCAGGAGGGTGCAGGGCAGAGCCAGAGAACCCCCCTGCACCCCAGGGCACCCCAAGCCCCATGACCTTGGGCAAGGGCAGCTAGCTCCTGCTGAGCGGGAGGAGCTCACCCCGGCAGCCAGCCAGGCTGGGGCTGAGCGGGACTCACTGCTGCCCACCACCTCCTGGGCCTCCCCGGCCATGGCGGCTGCAAGCCCCAGGGCTGGGCCGGGTGGTGCGGGCGGGGAGCAGGGCTGCCCTGGACCCGCCAGGCCGGCTTGAGGCGCGGCCCCCGGAGCCGCGAGTTTGTGGGGTCCGAGGTGGCTGGAGCAGGCCTGGGGGGCCTGCTGGTCACCGAGACGCTGGAGGCCCAGACGGGCCCGTGCCCACCCTCTGCGGAGCTGTCCACCTGCCCTGCCCGCGGCGGGCTGTGACTGAGGCTCTGCGGCCACCAGTCTTGGGGACGGCCACGCTGCCGCTTGACAGTGGGCTGGGCAGGTGGGCACAGACTGACCAGCGTGGGGAGGCCGCTACTCACAGCACCGCGCAGGCCCCAGGTCCCGGGTGCCGGTGGCTCCCGCACAGGCCTGGCCTGGCTTGTGTCCGCAGCGGCTAAGCTGATTAGGGCTGCCCGCTCAGGCTAATGCGCTTGCACTGCACGCCCAGCGGCTCCCGACTGCCCCAGGGCCCTGCCCCACCCATGCTGCACCGAGCCCCACACCCACCTCCCCTGCGCCCGGGGGCTCTCAGGCCAGACCAGGCGCCCCTTCCCCTCCTGTGGGGCGCTCCGGGCCCGGTCACCGGAGACGTGCACCCGCTAACCCGGTGTCCACCCGCCACCCAGGCAGGCATCTGCCCCGTGTGGGAAAGTCACGGGTGCTGGAGAACAAGGGGACGAGGGAGTTAGGGACAAGCAGCCCCAGGGGTGGGGGCGCCCGACCCTAGCTGTTCTCCCTGGCAGGTGTGAGGGCTGAGGAGACCTGCGTAGGTGGGGGTGCGGGGCCGCGTGGGGAGCACCCGCACAGCCTGTGGGGGAGACAGGGGAGGCCCTGACACTTCCGAGAGGGGCCTTTGCCGACCCTTCCCCCCCAGGGGCAACCTCTGCTGCACCGCTCTGGGGCACTGCCCCATTTCAGGGCGGCTCCTGCGATCTGGGGGCTGGGCCAGGGCGGTCAGCAGCGGAGGGGACGCTGGCCA